GGGGGCACGTGCCCCCCGGCGAAGATCTGGCAAAGAAGCTCCATCAAGTAGTCCGGGATCCGGCGATATGGTGCCCCACCGGAAGTGCAGCAGTCGGCGTTCCTGATGTTTTTTGTATTGAAGCTTCAATTCTATCGTTTAACAAATATACGGTGTCGTATTGTTGTTTAATTTTATAAAATCTTAAACAGCGTCGTTTGAGCTAGGGTTTTAATATCCCTGTCGTCCACTTCTTTTTGGTTGTTGATTTGATTGTTACGGAGTAAGTTATGGTGTTATACCATACATAGTTTATTTTCTTTCACTAATTTGGGTTTTTGGTTTCCTATTTTGTGATACTCCGTATGATTATTTATTAGATAAAGCTATTTGTTTCCCATTTTGTACCCCACATAAATTCACTAACATTTTGTGTTGGTGTAATGCTAATTTTTATTGATGCACCAATACTTTGTGTCAGTGTAAATTTTCTTTAACACATCAACACTCTATGTCAGTGTGAACCATCAAAATGGTGGTGCAGACGGCCTTTGGTGTACAAATAGGGTATAAATTTTGTGATACATGTAGCATGCTCTTTATTATACATCCAATTATTTTGTTTTAGGTTCAATTAAAGTAATTGATTTGCTAAAGTTTCAAAAAAAATGAAGAGAATGAATTGTGTATTCCCTGAGTAGTTTTTTTACAAAATATAGCTGTGGATGAATTAAATATAGTTTAATTCTAGAGTTATTTTTTCATGATCTTATGTTCACATGTGAAATGTGAACTTTCTCGCACATTTTAGTATTTTACAAGATGACAAGTGGGTCTTTTACTCTTTTACAAAATGTCAAATCTTTTATGGTATCAATGCATTCATGTCTATTAAATAAGCATGAATTTTAGACCACGTATAGTAAGAATAATCCTTAATTTAAATTTTTAGAATATTTGGTTGAAAGAAAATTTCTTAGTTGTATATTTTTAATCAATTTGTTATTGTATTTTCCAAAAATAAAAAGGGATACCTTGAAACCCATCTTCTAAGTGGTGCCCACCCAACATTTACATCCTGGCTCCGCCACTGTATATATATATATATATATATATATATATATATATATATATATATATATATATATATATATATATATATATATATATATATATATATATATATATATATATTATTGTGGAAGACATACGCGTCATAAACTTTTAAAAAGCAACCAAGAATCAAAGTCATATGGAGTACCGTTAACATAAAAAACCTAAAGTTCAAAGAACAAAAGTAGCAAGTGGCAAAAAAGAACATTCCACAAACAAATAATGAGTTGTGGAACATCAAACAATGAGTGAAGCCTCAAATGTTGAGTCGGTCTCCTCCGTCAAAATAGTGTTATATGAAGGGAAAGAAACAAAATTAAGTGATAAACAAAAAGGGATGCCTCATGTTTTAACTGAATTAAAGAACCCATTTACTTACTAATAAGTTGAAACGTGCCAGCAGTAAAGTCCAAATAGAGCCATGCATAAACTAAAAAGACAAGGAAAGTAGTGGAAGCCTCACAATTAAAAAATGAATTAATATATAGGCTCCGTTTGGTACACTGAATTCAAATTATGGAATTGGAATTGAAAACCTCAATTCTAATTCTAGGGTTTGGTAGCACAAAAATTATGTGAATTTAGAATTGTTAGTGCAAAAAAAGAATTGGAATTGGTTAAGTCATTTCTATAGAATTGAATCTCATGGAATTATAATTCTAATTCAATTCCAATTCCTATCAATTCTGTGTACCAAACGGACCCATAAAGGAAACAGAAATGTGAAGCAAGCAAATAGAATATCCGAAGAGAGCCGAAGCAAAATCCACCCCCTACTCTTTGTTGTTGTTGAAATAAATTCATGCATGTGATAAAGAATCAATTTCACAAGATGCAACAATAGAATGATATAATCTTCAGACATTTCATCAAAAAAAACAAAATCACATAAAAAACTTCAAAGTGAAAAAATTAGAGAACATAAACACACAATGAGTAGATAAAATCATGAGATAAAAATTAGAGAACATAACCTAGATTTATTTAAGATTTGAAAAAATTGATATAAATACTGCCCAAAATTTGAAATTTTACAATAATACTCCCAAATTTAATAAGAGACTCTGGTACTCCCAATTAAACTATAAGTTTACATTACTACTCCCACTATGCCTAATCAGCTTTTTTTATGCTTACATTTAAGTAATTATGCTTAGTTGACATCTAAGTTTTTTTTTGTTTTAATAAGAGGAAAAAATTATATAAATGCTCATAAAAATTCAAAATTTTACAACAATTCTCCTAAAATAAAATAAAGACCCCAGTTCTCCCAAAAGTATATTCTCGTTGCATGTTACTATATTTAACTGAAATTATTTTTAAAGTATTTTTTATGAAAAATAATGTGAAATTAAAAAATAAAAATTACATATTAAAAAACTAATATAGTAATATGTAAAAATAATTTTTTTAGTAATATTAAAGATTAATTAATTGAGCTTAATTGGCATCTTAGTTACTCCGTAGTTTTTCATATTTTAATAAAAAATACCCCCTTCATCCAAAATTATCTTCTCATTCACTATTAAGAGTATTAACAAGATCAAATTTTATTTACTTTGCTTACCTATTTTAATTATATATTTCATAAAATAATATAATTATATCATTACTAGTTTTATAGATCTTATGATGTAGTTTTTAGATATATAATTTTAGTTTTTGATTTCACACCACTTTTATTAAACATCATAACACGTAAAACGAAGATATTTTTTAGAGTACTGGAGTCTTTATTTGGTTTTGAGAGTATTATTGTAAAATATTAAACTTAAGGGAATATTTATACAATTTTTTCTCTTATTAAAACAAAAAAACAACTAAGATGTCAACTAAACATAATTACATACATGTAAGCATAAGAAAAGCTGATTATGCATGGTAGGAGTAGTAATGTAAACTTATAGTTTAATTGGGAGCACCATAGTCTTTTATTAAATTTGGGAGTATTATTGTAAAATTTTAAATTTCTGAGAGTATTTATATCAATTTTTCCTTAAGTTTTTTGTATCCATAAGTGCTTTTAAGCAAAAATAAAACTAATAGCTATCCGCTTCTACTTACAATTTTTTCATCAATTAACACACTCTAGAACACCCTCTTTCATGTCTTTATTACACCTCGTTTTAGACCTGGCAAAACGGTCGGTCAGGTCGGACTAGGGCTCAGTATAACCAAGTTCAGGTTATTTTGGGTTCGGGTCATTTCGGATTCGGGTCTAAGAGTGCTTGTTCATTACCCTGAGTTATCAGGTTCGGGTTGACCCAATGGGTTAAGAAGCGTATTTAAAAATTAAAAATTTTGCTATTCAGATATCATGTGATCCGAGCATTATTCAAAACAAAGAACGAAATTATAAGAGTTTGGAGTTCTATCTGCAACATACCAAAAGAGAATTGCAATATACCCAAAAAAACCACCTTTTTGCAGCAATAGTCACACATTTTGTGGGGGGTTACGGCGGGGTTGGGGTGGGGTTGCAGGGGTGGGGTAGGGTGGGAGGTTTAGGGGGTGGGTTAGGGAGGGTAGGAACCGTCAATTTTACAAACAGAGCACCGGAAGTGCCCAAAAACCCAGTGGCACCGTTTTCCAATGTCACTGGAACCTGACCGTAATATATATATATATATATATATATATATATATATATATATATATATATATATATATATAAAGAGAGAGAAGGGAGTACTATATTTATATTAGGTTTTACGCCTTTTGAGTTTTGAGTAGACTAATGGTATATCATATTTTAAATGAATATAATTGGTGAAGGTTTTCCTTCATTATCTCTCGATATTGTGAAAAAAAGACCAATATGAATGCAATTGTTATTTTTGTTCTCTACAAAAGTAGTTGAAATGGTGATAGAATTTAATTGGTTGATTTTCTTTGTGGGCTTAAGAAGGAATCATAGTTTGAATACATTTTCATGTGACGAGAGTTTACATTATCTTTCAATGCTTATAATGAGCAAACAATTTGAATAAAAATGCATTTGATGAGAATATCTTTTGACCTTTATCATTTGTTCATTGGTTTTCAATGATAAGCACTAACATGAAATATAAATTCTATAGATTATAAAGTCTTTCACAAATATAACTTCTATGTCTAAAACTCATTTTTGAGATTGTTGATAGGAATGTTGAAGGAATTTCTCTGACGAGTGCATCGAACCAAAAAACCAAAGCACTCGCATGCCCAAGATAATTTAAGTGCAATTATTTTTTGTTTGAAAGCACATTTACATGATCACGTATTATAACAAATGCTTTCCTTCTAAAATATACTTTGCACCTTTCATTCCCAAAAAAAATAAACTAAAACACTTTCTACTCTGAACAATATTGGACTTGCTTGTAAGGCTAAACAAGTTATATTTAAGACACCTTTTCACATCCTCGGTCTTTACTTTTATCGTTTCTTTTTAAAGGCAATGAATGGTGTATTATTCTGTAAATTTAGGGTTTTAACTAAATAGAAATTTGTGTTTGAACATAGTATTGCCAAGTAAAATTCAAATATCATGGATTTTTCTAATTTTATGCCCCCAAATTCTTTACTGGAGATTCTCACTACATTATTATTGGTAAGCCTGAGACGGAGATTCCAAGTACATCTCAAGCAGACCAATTACCAACATCACTCCATGAAAATGTCTATGAAGATGCACCAAATAAAGAGAAAGACAGAAAACAAAGGAGACGCAATTATCCAAATAGTAATGACAATATGTAATGTTTATTTTATAGAAAAGTATTACTTTACTCATAAATTAGGGTAGGGGAGGATATTCAAGATCTCATTATGAAATAAAAGTTTTTTTCCAATGAACTATACTCTAAATAAATAAGACCTAACATATTATTTTGTTTTAGCTAGAATGTTTTTCTCAATGTTACCTGAATTGATACTGAGATTACCAAATTCAATTGCATAATGTGTGGTCAAAATTTTTGAGAAAAATAATTTAGGAACACAAAATGATTTGCTTAATGGCATCCAGTCAAAAGAGTATATTTTGAAATGCCTCTTGATTGGAAGCAAATTGTTTCATATTCCTACATTAGTGGTCCTAAAAAAGTTTGATTCCACCTTATGCAATTGAATTTGATAAATCTCACCCTCGATCCCAATGAAAAACACATTCTAGCAAAAACAAAATATGTTGAAATAAATATGTTAAAAATTCTTACAAATAGTGTAGTTCATGGGAAAATTATCTTTTAATTCATTATAGGGTCTTGAATGTCCTATGTTGCACCCCTGTTTATTAGTAAAGTAATTCTTTTCTATCAAATTAACATTACATGCTCTCATTACTAGTAGATAACCATGTGTCTCATCTTGTTTTCCCTCTTTCTCTTCATTTGGTTCATCTTCAAAGACAGGTTCCTAATGAACAGATGTTGGCAATTGGTATGCTTCAAACTAGAATCTCTGTGCGGGGCTTACCGATTATAATGTACCTCAAATCTATGTCCAAAAAATAGAAAAGGAGAAGCAGATAAATTTGTGTTTATATTACAATTTTCTTGGATTAATAAAGAAATTTACATATATTTTTTATAAACTATTAGATTGAGTCGAAACATTGCATAGTGAGCTTTGAACAAGTCTTACTGCATAAGATTAAAATAGATGTTAAGCATATCAATTTGAAATGTAGTAAACAAAATGTGGGACATTAATATTGGTAGAAAATATCCATGATATGTGAATATTACTCGACAATAATATGTTGAAACACTATATTCTTTATATTCAAAACCCCGTTAAACCCTATAATATTTACTGGATATCATTCAACCACCTTTAAAGACACCATATAAGAAACGATAAAAAAGCCAAAACACAGAAAAGGTGACTTAAATATTACGTGTTAAGCGTTCTTAGCATGTTTTTAAGAGCAGAAAATACCTTATTTTTGTTGGAATAAATAAATATGAATAGTGTTAAGTTTATTTTAAAATAATAAAACATTCGTTATGGTAAGTGATAATTTAAATGTGTTTTGACACTAAAAATAATTACACTTGAATTACTTCGAGGATGCAATAGCTTTGGTTTTTGTTTGGATGTACCATGTCTCAAGAATCCCTTCCACATTTCTATCAACAATCCAAAATTGAGTTTAGACATGGAAACCATATTCGTGAAAGACTTAATTTACAAAATTTATATTTCATGTTATTACTTACCATTGAAAACCAATGAACAAATGTTTATTGTCAAAACTCACATAATACATGTTTATTCAAATCGCATGCTCCTTGTAAGCATTGAAAGATCAAATAAACTCTCGTCACATGAAAATATTTTCAAACCATAATTCCTTCTTTTAAGCGCCCCCCTCCCCAATCATTTACTCTTGAAATGGTTAAATGTAGCATTCATATTAAGACACGACAAAAGAGAATTAAGGAGAAAAGTAGATTCTCTAGAGAGGAGAGTAATTTGAGAGGATATTATAAAAGATGAGTAAAAGAGGTGACAATAGACACGCATTACAATGCTAAGTAACCAAACATCCTAACCTAATACTTAAATGTCAAGGTATAATAGTATCCTTAAGTCCAAGCAAAGAAAAAAAGCCCTCTTTTTCCCAATAGAGCAAGGGCTTCTTTGAAAATTTCCATCATCTAGTGCTTAAATATTTGCATGGAAGCATTATGCACCCAGAACGTGTATATATAAATGAAAAAGAATGGTCTCAAGTCAAATATTTTCTATGGATTTAACCACGAACACGAAGGATCATATAAGGTATCGAACAGTTAGAACGGAACAAAATTTGCTCTCAATCACTAACACTATGTTTGGTTCAAGGAATTTGAGAGGGAAAGGAAAAGAAAATGAATTGGAATACATTTTTCTTATTTGGTTTGAGAGGAAAAGAAAAGAAAAGTGGGAGGAAAAAAAAAGAGAAGGCAAAATGTACTAAGAGGGAAAAAAACCAAATACCTCCCATTTTTAGTGAGGAAAATGAGGGAAAACCATTTTCTTTTCGTACCAAATCCCTTGAACCAAACATAGTGTAAATGTCACGTTGAATTCCCATTTTAAAAAAAAACCCCCACAACTGCATCCCAAATTACAACACATTTTATGGGCAACAATTCAAGCACTTTACAACCAAACATATTTCAAATTGGTATAGAACATATTTCAAATTGGTATAAAATAAAAAAATTCAAATTAAATATTTCAAAATTATATCAAAAATTCTATAAAACAAGATCTGAAACTAATCAACCTAGATCTCATACACCTTCATCATCTAATGATAACCCTATGAATCTTAAAGGAATGCACGAGATATGGATAATTGGATAAACATCATGAATCAAGGAAAGTATGATATGATATAGTTTTGGAAACTAAAGCAAATGAAGCATATACTAATGATGACAAGAGGTTGTAGTTCAATGAATTTGGGATTGAGATCCAAACAAAATTATATGTTGGTAATACTGATTTCATTGGATGTAAACTTACCTATGTCGAAGCTGACAAGCGAATGGGAATAGATATGCAAGATTAACTAACAAGGATATTGTTGTTTTTGCTAAATACTAAGATTCTGCAGCAATTTCCAATATACTTGAGGCTAATCGTTCTTTACCAGTATTTGAAGTATACATAGGAAGGCTATAAAAATCTTACATAAATGAGGATATGAACTTCCTCAAACCTAAACAATAAAACTGAAGGCATGAGACAATCAAAAGGAAATACTATCAATTTGATAATGAGCTTGTTTACGTAAGGAAATGGAAGCCTAGTAGTACGTTGGATAGTACTTAATGCAACAATCTATTATCATGGTCCTGTTGGGCGAATTGAGTGTGGAGGCTCGACCAGGAAGGGCAGCCGGCCCTAGTCTTGGTTTGACCCATATGGCAGTAAATTAGGGTTTTTAATTTAGCCGGCCCTAATTCTCTATGTGGGCTTGGGCCTAACTTGGGGATTAAGTTTTCAACCCTAGTTTAGTCTTCATAAATAGGGATCTCTGTACTTGTAATTCTGTGAGCACCTGGATAATAAAAACCCTAGTTGCAAAGTGGATTAGGTCAGCCGACCGAACCACTATAAATCTTGTGTTCCGTTTTCTCCGTTTTGATTTCTGTTTTGTGTGTGTTCTTGTTTGGTTGTGGTTTGCTATTCAGTATTCATAGATACCCCAACAACTGGTATCGGAGCCATAGATTCTTGATCGTTGAAGTCTTCGCTTGGGTTTGTGGAGATCAGGTTCAAATTGAAGATTAGGGTTTCGAAGGGTTTGAAGATCTGTTCCGCCACCGTCATAGTTTCTGCTGCAGAATACGGTCAGTACTATCTTGTGAACAGTAACCGCGCCTCCGTGGTGAACAACCGCTGCTGCTAGGGTTTTGTTTAGCCGCCACTGCTAGGGTTTCGAATAGCCGCTGCCAAGGTTAGTTCGTTATTGTTTTTTTCAATCTCAAATCAGTTTTTCAGCCGTGTATGGAAACAATAGCAGATGAAAAGATAAAGATTGAAAAGTTTGATGGATGTGATTTTGGGTTTTGGAAGATGCAAATCGAGGATGTTCTTTATCATAAAGACTTGTACCAAACGTTATCGGGAGAAAAGCCAGAAAAAATGAGTGATGCAGATTGGGCGATTTTGGACAGGAAAGCTTTGGGAGTAGTTAGGTTGTCATTGGCGAAGAGTGTTGCTTTCAAAATAGTCAATGAAACGACTACGCATGGGTTAATGAAAGCTTTGTCGAATATGTACCAGAAACCCTCAGCATTGAACGTGTTTTTTATCAAACAGTTGGTTAGCACCAGAATGAGGGAGGGTGCTTCAGTTACCATTCACATCAACCAGTTTAAGTCGGTCATAACTCGGTTAGGATCAGTTGGAATTAAGTTTGATGATGAGCTTCAGGCGTTGCTGCTTTTATCTTCTTTGCCTGACAGTTGGTCTGGAACAGTGACTGCAGTTAGTAGTGCATTTGGTACTACTAAGTTTACTTTTGAAGGAATTCAGGACTTGATTCAAGGTGAAGACATCAGACGCAGAAGTTCAGGGGATTCTTCGAGTGCACTGTTGAGTACTGAAGGCAGAGGAAGAAGGAATGAAAGAGGAAGCAACTGTGGTAGAGGCAAGAGTCAATCCAAGCATCGGGAAGGAATTGTCTGTTGGGATTGCAAACGGACGGGACATTTTAGAAATCAGTGTCCGAATGCTAAAAAGGAAGTGAATACTACAAAAAGCTGCTCAGACAATAGTGATGATGTGCTAATCTATAGCGTAGAGAGTAGTATAGATTCCTAGGTGATGGGTTCTGGTACATCTGTTCATGCCACACACAGCATGAAGATGATGAAGAATCTGAAGATTGGGGACTTTGGTAAGGTACGACTTTATAACGATGAAATTCTAGATGATACGGGCATGGGGGATATTGACTTGAAAACTTCAGTTGGAGCCACTAGGACTTTGAAAAACGTCAGAGTCATTCCAAGCTTGAAGAGGATGCTTATCACAGTTGGGCAGTTGGATGATTCGGGTCTTGATGTTAAATTTGGTGGTGGACAAGGGAAGGTGGTCAAAGGAAATCTTGTTGTTGCTTGTGGCAAGAAAAGGGGCTCGTTATATATGGTCGAGATACCTCCAGAAGGAGCAAGTCCAGTTTTTGTAAAAGAAAAGGTCCGGTTCAAAGAATCTCATGTGCTAAAGAGGGTTACCTTTGCAAAGGAGAAACTCAGAGAAAGAGAGATTCAGGATGAACTAGCTCGGAAGGTTCAACCAGTAAGGGAATTTTGTGACAGTGGGAGCACAGGTCGTGCTTCAGTTAACAATTTGCTTGGTTTGGAGAATGTAGGTTCTCAGATTGTCTTAGAAGCCAGGAGAGTGATAGATGTGTCACACTCGGAGCTAGCAGAGAAAGAGAACGAGTCACGAGTTGTGACTAATGAGTTGAAGCTCAGTGGGAGCTTCAACGGGCCTTCGGATAACTGAAGAGAAGGCCGCTGCAACTAGTGGAAAATGAGGATTACAAGAGTTACAGATGATGAAGACTAAGGGGCGTTGTTCGAGCCTCCAAGTGGGAGATTGTTGGGCGAATTGAGTGTGGAGGCTCGACCAGGAAGGGCAGCCGGCCCTAGTCTTGGTTCGACCCATATGGCAGTAAATTATGTTTTTAATTTAGCCGGCCCTATTTCTCTATGTGGGTTTGGGCCTAACTTGGGGATTAAGTTTTCAACCCTAGTTTAGTCTTCATAAATAGGGATCTCTGTACTTGTAATTCTGTGAGCACCTGGATAATAAAAACCCTAGTTGCAAAGTGGATTAGGTCAGCCGACCAAACCACCATGGTTTTAAAAGGCGAAAAAGGCGGTCCGCCCTGAGGCGGTAAGGCGCTGAGGCGGTAGTATTTTGCCCCAGAGGCGTTCGCACCAGATGATTTCCGCGAGGCGTACGCCTTGATTAATTGAGGTGGTTTGAGGCAGTAAGGCGCTGAGGCGGAAACGAGGCATTCGCCTTGAAATATAGTCCGTATAAGCCATATTCTGTCCTTTTGAATTTAATTTATTGGGCCTTCAAATAGTTGGACCCTTTGAAAAAGTTAGGCAGGAAGCACTACTTAAATATAAATAAATAAAAACTCTTAAAGTTCCAATTTTCCAATCGCACCCCTGCGTGGCTGTCCAGCTTCCGATTCTCTCTCTTTCACCGTCTCTCTCTTTCGCTCTGGCTTCCGGTCGTTTCTCTCTGGTCGCGGCTTTTCTTGTGCAATTTGGCTTCCTATTCTCGTTTCTCTCTTAAGGTACGAATTTATGATTTCTTGAAGATTTGTTTTAACTTTTTTTTACTCTGGTAATTTTATTTTCCAAAATTCTAGCAACTTGAAGAATTTTAAGTAAGCCAATTTTAAGATTTTTCATTATTAAATTTTAAGATTTTTCATTGTTAAATTGTTTATATTATAATTTATAATTACTTTAAATTTAATCTTTTACATATAGTTTGGTTTTACATCAACTTTTTTAGTGTTTTGGTTATCTTGAATCATGATTATCTTATTGCGTTTTTATTTTGCCCCCCTTTTTTGCTTGAAATGAAAACTTATGTATTACTTAATGACTTATTTGACATAATTATGGATTATGCATTTTGTTTACCTAAAAGTTGTTTTGTTTGTTATTTTTTATCAAGTTGATCTGAGGCTTATGCCTCTACCGCCTCGAGGCTTACGCCTTGAGGCATTTTCCTCTACCGCCTCGAGGCTAGTTTTTGCCTTTTAAAACCTTGCGAACCACTATAAATCTTGTGTTCCGTTTTCTCCGTTTTGATTTCTGTTTTGTGTGTGTTCTTGTTTGGTTGTGGTTTGCTATTCAGTATTCATAGATACCCCAACAGGTCCTTGAAACGGCAAGCTCATATCTCCCGTTCGAGTGCAGAAGCAAAATACAGGCGGTAGCAAACTTTGTGGCATAAACAACGTGGCTACAAAACCTTTTACTTCAACCCGGCCCTCAACGGAAAGATTTGATTGTCTATTGTGACATCTACGCAGTTTATTTATCAAAATTCCCAGCGCAACACCAACGAACAAAACATGTTGAAATTGTTATACATTTTGTTTGGAAAAAAGCCTGGCTTGGCCATGTTCGGGTTCTTCATGTTCCATCCTTGTCTTAATATGCCAACATCTTCAAGATGGGTCTGCCTTGATAGTTGTTTGAACACTTTTGGTGTCTGACAATATCCTATTCAAACTGCGGGGAAATAGTAGGAGATACTTCGTATATGCTACGGAGTACCAAGTACTACCTTCGTTCCACTCTCTTTATCCACTTTTGACTTTTGAAATTGTTCATCTAAGCACTTTGACTCATCAAATTCTCTCAATGTGTAAGCCTAAATATAGTCATGTGTGATCTTGTTTGATTTGTCTTAACATATAGATTATTAATGTTAGAAAATGGAGAGAATGGAGAGACTTTACCAAGTAGGCTATTTTGCAACAGAGATTGTCCGAACGACATACATATACCTGCAGTTAGCACATTAAATGTATTAGTATTACAATACAAACACTAGTTTATTAGTGTTGATTTTTATAATTATACTTCAGGTTTGATAACCAGAGGAAACTTACGAAGAGTAAAGAATTGTTTGCTCAAAAAGGTAACTTTATTTTATTTAAATATGATTAGATTATTAAATTGTTGAAATATAAGCCACAAATATGCACTCTTATTTAGCTTAGGAGTAAGATGGAGTAAGGCAAAATGGTTCTTAAACTATCTATGCTTCTTTAGATAGTCAATGCAACTTACGACACTGATCATGAGTCATTTGGAAACAACCGCTTTATGTTTTAAGAAAATTAATAAGTTCATATTATCTATAAAAGTAATATTTCCCTATCGCACCAAAGATGATAGAAAATGGAGAGACTTTACCAAGTAGGCTATTTTGCAACAGAGATTGTCCGAACGACATACATATACCTGCAGTTAGCACATTAAATGTATTAGTATTACAATACAAACACTAGTATATATAATTTCTATAATTTTTTAATATACAAATTACAAGATAAAATGAATTAAAGAAGTGGATTGGATGGTGTGCCAAAAGGTAAGTGGACAAAGAGAGTGGGACAGAGGGAGTATATCTCTAGAGTGATTGTAATTGGTTTGTATTGATTATGTTAAATATTAAAATTAATTGTAATTTATTTGTATGGATACTCTCCTTGTATTTTCTCCCCTATATAATGGGGAGACATTGATCAATAATGAGCACGGTTGATTTTGTACCAATAATCCAATAGTAATTTTAAAGGTTTAGAAATTAGAAAGGTTTTTAATTGAAATTATGATTATTATATAGAAAAATTATCTCAAATAATCCCACCTTTTCGCGCTCTTTCAAAAATAATCCCACTTTTCACTGTCACCGGAAATAATCTCACCTTTTCGCATGCGTGCGAGTTTTGGGTTACCGCTAAAAAACTAACGGCCACTTAACGAAAATTTTGAAAAATGCCCGTTTTTCGCAAATAAATGAAAGGTGGGATTATTTTAGGTAGATTCTCCCTTTTTCGTTTTTTAATTTCTTTAAATGTATTTTTATTTTATTTTTTTGGAAAAAAATACTAAATTTAAGTCTTTTTAGAGTGAAACTAATTGTTTTTTTTCAATAACCAATAATATGGTAATAATTAGAAAATAAATTATTCTACACAATAGAGCTAATTTATTAACTTCATAACTAACTATACCCTCCGTTTGGAAAAAGTATTCTTCTTTTGACTTTGTGTAAAAATAAGGAAGTATTAAATTGTAATTGACTTCCAATTTTGCCCTTGATGTGATAGATAAAAGTAAGATGTGATGGATAGATTACTAGAGATAAAGTATGATGTGATAGGTAGGGTATGAAAAAGTAAGGGTAAAAGTGGTTTTCTAATAGAAAGTGGAAGTATTTTGTTGGAAGGGAAAAAAATGAAAAAAGAAGTGTTTTTGATAACGGAGGGAGTACATTTTTTTGTAAGTTGCATTTACTGTATTTTTCTTGAGCTGCACTTCAAATTATTTTTTGATACTACATTATTATTATTTCTTTAAAAAATGGCACTACAAAACTTATGAATATTTTTCGATAGTTCTATATAAATATTTTTTGTGAAACAACATTACAATAGTTGTGAAAATAACACAACAATTTTTTTCTCTAAAATAGAACTTTTATTTTTATAACTCACTACATTTTCTGATGTATTGCAATTTTTCCATGAACACTCTGAAATTTTTATTGATAATCTTATATTGCAATAAAACTTTCTTTCTAAAATGGAACTACCCAATTTATGATTTTTTTATTAATTCAATACAAATTTTTCCCCAAAATAGTAATTCAAAAGTTGTGAAAATGACACAATATTTTTTTCCCCGAAATGGAACCCATAAATTTTATAAATCACTACAAAATTTGTTAACCGTTAGACAAATCTCTAACAAGAGTGTATTGTTATATTTTAAAAAAATATTAATTTTAAATTCAAAACTAAAAAAAGTAAAAAGTAAATTTTTCTAAAATAATCTCACCTTTCATTTATTTGCAAAAAACAGGCATTTTCAAAAACTTCCGTTAAGTGGCCGTTAGTTTTTTAACGGTGACCCAAAACTCGCACACATGCGAAAAGGTGGAATTATTTCTGCTAACAGTGAAAAGTGGGATTATTTTTGAAAGAGCGCGAAAAGGTGGGATTATTTGAGATAATTTTTCCTTATTATATTCATGATTGAAAATGTGAAAGGAGAACAATTTTAGGGTTACAATTCCAAGCGGATGAGAGGTGACTAAACGGTAAATGAAATAATAAAAGGTGTTACTCTAGATATAATAGAAAACCTATAAAGAATGACCTAATTGTACTACAATGGCTCAAATAAAGTATTTATTGAAATCTTCATATTTGGTTCTTTGAATGATTTTTATAATTATACTTCAGGTTTGATAACCAGAGGAAACTTACGAAGAGTAAAGAATCGTTTGCTCAAAAAGGTAGCTTTAATTTATTTAAATATGATTAGATTATTAAATTGTTGATAAGCCACAAATATCCACTCTTATTTGGCTTAGGAGTAAGATGGAGTAAGGCAAAATAGTTCTTAAACTATCTATGCTTCTTTAGATAGTCAATGCAAACTTTCGACACTGATCATGAGTCATTTGGAAACAACCGCTTTATGTTTTAAGAAAATTAATAAGTTCATACTATCTATAAAAGTAATATTTCCCTATCGCACCAAAAATGATAGAAAATGGAGAGACTTTACCAAGTAGGCTATTTTGCAACAGAGATTGTCCGAACGACATACATATACCTGCAGTTAGCACATTAAATGTATTAGTATTACAATACAAACACTAGTTTATTAGTGAATAGATTTTAGACTCCATTCTTTTTAATTGTGAATGATACTCTCTTCGTCCCAAAATTGTACCCCCTCTGTCCTGAAACTATATTCCGGCTTAGACTTTTTCTTATTTTTTAGGAGGGGGAAAAGTTATGATAAGTTTCCAAAAAATACCCATTTTCAATTCTGGATTCAGTTCCGATGAGAAGACCAAGGAGAAGTGCAAATAAACAGCCTGTTTCTGAAAAATAAATTTCTCACCATAAGTAGGGTGATTCCTCCTGGATGTGTTGGCTGCTCCCTAGGTTCCACGCACGGGTTCAGCGGTTAGGTGCAGTTTGACTTGCAGAAATCGTCCCGGGGTTGGGGACGGCGGGAGGCGACCCGGAACCGCCTTTGATTGCAATGGTTCGGCGGTATCCTCTGTCGTCGGAATCATGAACTGGGAGCGTACCCGGTTCGGGAAGCCTCAGACTCCATACGAAACTGAGGATAACAAACAAATCTAGGGTTTTTGAGAGTGGGGGTGAGGATCTGTCGGTGAGAGAGTGTCATAAAAGATGAGGAAGATTGTTGGAGGATAAGAAATGTGTGGTTGAGTAGGTAGGTAGTCTTTTTAATGTGGAGTTATATATGGTACATGCGTATGTATCTAGAAATAGATACATCTCGGTAGTACTTATTATAAAATAAAGTAGTACTCATTCTCATATAAATATAAGCATTCATTTCGAAATACGTAATACTCACTCTGACAAAGGTAGTACTCATTTTTTAAAAAAAGTACTTATTTTTACACATTTGTCTAATATAATTATTATAAATAGCGTAGTGTTCATTCTTAAAAAAACAATACTCATTCTCAAATAAGGAAATATTCATTTTGAAATAAAGTATTGTTCAATTTTTTCACAATTAAAAAGTTCAGTATCATCATCAACTCTTCATCCATACCCTTTTCATTGGATCTTCCTCTATTCGATTCGTTCCTACTCATTTATACTCTCTGAGCATGGAGAATTTAAAACCCATGTTTATTCATGTTTGTATTGAATAATAATATGATCATTCTCATAAGTGTTGGTACTCCTTCTCAAATCTGTCGGTACTCATTATCATATATAATAGTTCTCATATATGTTCTGGACATTGGATAAAAAGTTTGCAAAATTTACAAAAATACTAGGTTGTACCTAAAGGAAGGTATAGCTGGATGTACCATATAATTTGCCTTTAATGTGGAGAGGTGGGCGTATGTTGAATGAAGGGCAATAATGTCATTCAATTTTAGAATGTAGCTTTTTAAAGAAAGTTTTCTACTCCCTCCGTCTTAATTTAAATTCTCTCTTTCGATTTATGATATTTGATTGAACTTATTTTCAAATTAATTTATATAAAAAATGGTGCAAAGTCACATATTTAAAAATTACATCCAAAAATTTACAAAACTAGTAGTTGCACAAATATATTATTTGATGGAAACCACTTTTTCGGGGTGTCAACCCGACGAACTCAGTACCAGATCGACACTGCACTGAATAGCGAAATCCAGAAAATAAATAAATACTCGTAAACAAATAAATAAAGCGAGAAAAATATTTATACGTGGAAACTCAAATTGAGAGAAAATCACTGACCATTTTAGGCGGTGTCATGCCAAGGGAAGAACTTTTATTAATCTCACGGGAATTCACATATAAATCATTGTAGGAGCTATGAGCAATTAATGGAGCTCTAAGCTTAAAGGAGGAGGAGGAAAAATAGTAATAGGAACTTGTAGGAATTGGTCTCCCCCTTCTCCTTTCTGTAGCTTCTTTTTATAGTAGGAAGAAGAAATGAGGTAGTGGAGACAAGGGATTATGTCTAGGTCCCGCTAAATATATAATTGGGCCCTTGTCAAGATCTATATATCTCATTAAATTATCTCCTTCGTCTTCATATTTCTGGCTCCGTCTTGAATAATTTATCTGATTTATTTCTTGGACTAGATAAAATTGGGCTTACTTGTACTGTTCAAATAATATTGGATTAAGTAAAATCCTAATCCATCATTATTTTATCAAATGACTAACAAAAATAGGTAAACAAAGTGTATATATATCTTTGTTCTTATAAGATGGTCAAAACTGGTTAAAAGCATTTTTAACTTATAAGTCAGCTAATAACATGTTTCTGTATATAAGTTGCTTACAAGTTAGAAAAAATAAGTAAGTCTTAACTATCCACGATTTGGAAAGTGCTAAGTTGCAGAAAGAGCTCCCACCCCACTGCAAGATCTGACCAGATCTAGATCTGCATGGAGGTGCCAAATTTTTTTATTTCTTCCACATCCATGGTGGGGTACATGGCAGTGCAAGTTGCCTTGAAGAAGTCCAAAAACAGATCTCTGCCATTACGGGGGTTGCAGTGGCAGGGGGGTTGCAAGTTGTCTTCAACGAGTCTTGGAACATATTGGCAATGGTGCGGAAGAGCCGGAGAGTCTCCGTCGGCGGTGGTAGCAATGGTAGAGGGCTCACGGCAGCGGATAGGATAGATAGGGTTGAGGGGTATAATATGAAAGTCAACACAATTTTCATCACATAAATATGCGTGCCCGGTCAAAGCGATAAATTTATTTGTGGACGGAGGAAGTAATAACGTTACAAAACCAAAAAGTGAGAAAAGGATTCCCTTACAGCAAAACAAACTCACAAAACCAGAGAATGATATCATTTTGAGGTGCAAACTTCCCTCACTTCCAAAAACGCCCAATCCTCAATCCAAATTCTATGATCTGTCCTAAGAAAAAAAAAGAAAGATGTACAAATACTTTACAACAACCCATTTGTATCCCATAAGAGAAGGGGGTGTGTACGTAGACCCTACCTCTACTCGAAAAGATGTACTTTGTTGTAGTAAATTACAGTTAAACATTTGCCTGCTCCTTAAGAAGAACCGCCGCCGCCTCCTATTTGCCTTCTTCTTCCTCCCCATTTAAGGAGTGCAGCCGCCTCAACCTCTGGTCCAGCTCTGCCAACACCGCCGGCTCCTGCCTTTTCCTGTGCTTTGATATACTGGTGGTTGTCATTGAGCCTATCTTGTCAAATGCAACCTGCAATTTCTCATGCTTTGCTTTAGAACTCCAGGCAAATCAATGAATCATATTAACAAATACCATTTCCAGCCTACGCTAAATTTTGCATTTTTCTTTTTGTTAATTGATATTTTAAAAAAAATCACACCACCGGCTTCTCACTTTTTGTTATTTTTATTAAACTCCGTGAAGTCGAATTGTGGATTTCTTTTTCAGAGTGGAGGGAGTTACACAAAAGTCAATTGTATAGGCTGAACAACTGAACAAGACTGTTATTGATGATAATCAATGACCACCAGTACAAACAACTATGTATACACACACTATTACAATAAAACCTGAACCCAACCCACCCCAATTTCAATTGCAGGTTTTTCTCTCCTTCGCACATCCATCATATTGCCTGCAATAACCCATGACGCTACGCATAGACAACTGGCCACCTATTGCTTACTAGAACAATGACAAAAAACATTCACTACCAAAGTGTATGAGTTGAGATATTGATTTCTTGAAAACTTTCACATGCCAGATTGAACGAGTAGGAAATCAACGAGGTCTATTGTGATATCTATAATAGACGAATAAACCAAGCAATCTAGCAGAGTAGAAGATGAACACAAGAGACCAAGGGAAGGCAGCAAGAAGGCATTACCGTTAATAAATCATCGGGATCAAAAAGATGATGTGTGGTCCTCTGTATGATATTTATTACATCTCCAACTTGATGTGCCAATATCAACTCTTCCTCATTCATCTACACTTTTCGACAATTAAAAATAATTGAGAACAACATTATACACAGAAGCAACAAAACCCAATTAGATCCAAACTCTATTGGGATGGGGGGATCAATATGTATGCATTATTAGTTAACAAAATCAGAGAGAGGTAAATAAAACTCTATGCGTACTTGTAAGTATTTTCTAATCAAAATTGAAGACAACCCATACAGAGATAATCACCTTAAAAATTGCCAAAGCTGCATGAAATAGGACCTTTGCCCCTTCATAGAATAGGACATCCCAGACGCGCAAGGTTGTCTGAAACGGCATAGAAGGATCATCATCACAATTGATGAACAAAAGTGTTTGGGTGCATGAAAGAGGTACATAATTATTATATTGACCTCAGAAGGCAAACTTTTTGAGAAAAGACAGAGAAACCATTCTGTACAAACAAGAGAAACATCAAACTCCAAAGCATCCAAATGCGAGGCTATCCTGCAATAAGTTCCATTGTCATGTTCAAGAACTAGGAAATAGAACATGAAGGTACAGAATAAGCTAACATTTTTCATCAAAGTTCAGAAAAGAGAAAACACCTTGGACACTTTTTTCTTAGCAAATCCTTAAATACTCTTTGTTCAACATGACACCCAGATAAGTTATATGTATAACAATCATTAACTAGCACATTCTCTAGAAGGACAGCAAGCATCCAGAAAGCATCTTCTTCAGTTTTCATCACAAGCAATAGTAAAGCCCCAACATAATTTAAGCCCTGCAAAATAGTAACTCAACTAAAAAGGTTGGTATTAACTTAATGAACTTATAAAACACTCATTCAAATTGAATTATCACCAAAATGGCCAGAGAGACAAGGGTAGTGTTGTTTTCAACTTGGTAAAAAAAAGTCTATAAGCACTTCCCTTATATAAGCTTCTCTTAAAACAAGGGAAAAAAAGAACCAAGCAAACTCTTTAACCAAACAAAACAAAAAACTCATATTTGGAGTATATACTCTGTGTGTGTGCGGACACACGTGTGTCCTCAAGAAATATATGTCATGAAAAAAACAATGTTGGTGAGCGATGTCAAGTTACTATTATCCTCCATAAAGTACATGTCCAATGAATGTTATATATAAATCATCTAGCCAAGAGATTTAAGTTGGATAAAAGTGGAAGCTTTAAAGTTTCTATTTTCTTAAAAAAGCAAATGTATGAAGAAGCTACTATAGTACTATCACAAGTGCTTTTTGGGGAGAGATCAGATTAACCTGACAGTAGCCAACATCAGAATCTCGGAATGAATAAGCAACAAGAACACGCCTAAGAGCAGCATGACCCTCTGGAGTGTCCAACCATTGGTGACCAGGAAAAGTACGTGGCAGGTCCTGAAAGCAATAAACATTAGAGCAGTGCAGAAACCACACCATATTCAGAGGCGTTACAAACTGATAATGATGACGACAACAACAACAACAACAATATCATCATCACCATCATTACCGCTACTACTATCGTTATTATCATTGATGACAATAATAATGTTTTCAGCACTACATAAGACCTTCCTAAGCATTTTGGATGAACCAAATCAACCTCTTCTCCAACAGCAACATAAAACCTAGGAGTTGTATATATGAAAGTAACTAGTAATTAGTAAATCAAGCTTAAGTTTTGATATTGAAGAACCATCCTAAATATTTTGATAAATGATCAACCCTTATGCTTCCCTTTACGTGAACAGTTGAAGAATGGAAATGAAAAAAAATGAATACAAATTGTTATAGTCACTATTCATCGTTCAAAGCAACAACCCTTAAGCTTCCCTTTACGTGAACAGTTGGAGAATGGAAATGAAAAAAAATGAATACAAATTGTTATAGTCACTATTCATTGTTCAAAGCAACTCTTATTTATTATTCTCTTTTGGATTGCTTTATTTGTGTTAAATATAGACATGGGTTGCCTTCCTAGCTTTTAAGGCAAGCATCATGCCTGGAGGTGATTGGTCTTGATTCCTTGAATCAACCTCAAGCCTACCAATCATGATGGTACCCCTAAATAAATAAGTCAGTCAAGGTGGTAGCCTAACACTCATCAGGTGATTTAGATAAGTCATCCACTCTGATGTCTTTAGGATTGGTTGCGGGTGAATACAACTGTTTACGAAATTCTTAAATACAAAGCTGGATCCGACTAATATGAAAGTTGCATTGTATATAACTCTAGCCAAGTCACATATCTCATTATAGGAAGTAATTATATTACATGGGTTCTTGCTGTTAAGGCACCTAAAGCTTCTCCATCTAACAAGCATTCAACTATTTGAGTGGAATCCACTCTTATCTTAATATAAGCAGAAACTAAGAAATGTGTTTCCAGTTTCCACATCCAAGATATACAGCTTAAAAATGTAAGATTGTAAGAATAGTAGGGATGGAAAGAAAAAGAGAGGTGCTGACATGGTCAATCTGCTTGGTGGCAGGGGTGACCTTGTCCCGGACAGCCTTGGTGAGATCATCATAGTAGCTCTCTGGCACAGTGGACTTCTTCTTGGCGGCGCCAGAAAGGGAAAACCAGACCTTGGGGCGTAGCACGGGAGGGATGCCCTTACGGATGAGGCGCTTGAGTGTGATGGCATTGACAAGAGCAGAGAACTTTAGGGATGACTTGATAGTAGAGGAGACATGAGTCTGGAGGTACCAATTGGAACCCTTGCTGGCCTCCAATGACCACCACACCCTCCCTTGCTCCCTCACCTTCTCCCTCACCTCATTCAACACATTCACATCATCCACATTTCCCTCCACCGGGAACCCGTACAGATCCTGGAATTTCACCGTCAGGTTCGCCCTCCTCGCGTAGATGCTCGGCCGGAGCGTCGTGATCTGCAACCCATATTCCAACGCCAAATCCCTAAGGCTCTGTGTGTGAGCTCTTGCGCCATACATCTCTTTCTCCCTTTCTCTTATCAATCAATTAATTTACAACAAAAACAACAAACAGAGATTTTTTTCCCCCTCTTCTAACATGAATCATTCATTTAACAGATCATACGGCTTCCGCCTTCAATTCAAAGCTTCCCGACGAAAAACAAGCGAGAAGCAGAAGATTCCACACACAAAATGTACAAAAATATAATAAAACATACACACAAAAACGTAGATATACACAACAATTATACGTACATATGTACAGCTGGTGAAGGCCCGTCAGATTTCAGGCGAGCTGGGAGCAAGGCGTAGCCATTGATGGAGACCGGAGTCAATTATTGAAGCGTTCATCATCATCATTTACAGAAAGAGAAAAAAAGAGGAGGAGATGAACGAAGATAAGCAGTATCCCGAGACTTTAGAGAAAGTCCATTTTCTATCTGGGGCCATGAATGAAGAAGGATCTGTAAATAATGGACCATGCTACGCCAAAAAATATACCCCATTTGTACACCGCAGGTTTGCACAAACATTTCGATGGTTTACACCGACACAAGTGTTGGTGCGTTAATAAAAATTCACACGGACACAAATGTTGGTGCGTTTAACAAAAATTAGTTTTACACCAACACAAAGTGTTGGTGCAAAACTGCGGGGTACAAATTGGGGTACAAAACTTGGGGTACACATAGCATAATCCGTAAATAATGCAGTTACGCACTCGTTAAAATTTGAAATTTATCACCTTATACTAGGGCAGGGCTGTAAATGGATAACCGAAAATTCGTTTACCGTCCGCATCCGTATCCGTTTATATGGAAAATATCCGCATCCGTTAAAAGTGGTTATTATCCGTATCCGATTAAGGATATCCGATTGCTAATCGGATACGGATTTGGTAATCACACATCCGATCCGTTTATAATCCGCTCCGCATTGACATCCGTTTAAATAACTGTTTATCCGTGTATCCGATCCGTTATATATAGTTTTTCCTTATTTTTTATTTTTATATTTTGTTTCTCTATTGATATCTCAAAGTATAAAAATATTTTTATATGTAAAATATATGTGTAGACACATAAAAATATGTGTAGACATATAAAAAATGTGTGTGTATATCTACTGTCTATATCTTTTTATGATATGAAATCATTGTAGAATATCATAAACTATAAACAAATAAGAAAATAATTATTCCATAAAAAATATAGTTGATTTAATAGTATTTTGATTTAGTTTAATTGAAAATTAAAGTATTGTTTGATTTGGTTTAAAAAATTGGAAACGGATACGGATATATCCGATATCCGACCGATATCCGACGGATGCGGATACGATTTTGAATTTCAGTATCCGTCAAGATCCGTATCCGAATTCGATATCCGACAAAAATAAACGGATACGAATTTGGTAAAGGCACATACGATCCGATTAAAATCCGTTTACACCCCTACCTTATATGGAAAAAAAGAAAATCGAGTAAATTAACCTTTCTTGGATAGTGAAGGGTCAGTGTCAATTCCGAAACCGATCAAATTCGGATTGGGTACAACCCTAACAACTAACAAATGGATGCCTCGTTGCATTAACAATGACCTGGCTTAGAACATCTCCAACCCATAGTGTATATGATAAAATTTACACTATATGCAATATACTATTCATTTTTTGAGACTCTAATGGATAGTGTAAACCAAAGGTTAAAAAACACTATAGTAGAAAATACAATTCCCAACTTGTATATATATATATACAAGATGGTGCAAACCAAATGCTAAAATAATTATTTCAATATTTATTTTTAAATAATACTAAAAATTTTATTAATAGATTGGTTACATTATGCACATCATAAATGTGATTATAATTAAACCAAAAAGTAAACACATAAATAACTTAAAATAATAAAATATTATAATAATTTATTATATAAAAGATATGGTTGGAGTGAGTATAAAAAAGTGAATGTGTAAAACACTGTAGATAGTGTAAAATAAATTTTACATTATCAATTTTTCCACTATAGGTTGGAGATGCTCTTACAAGCTAATTGCGAGTAATATGGTGTTTATGTTGCACCAAAGTTGACAACATTTTTTGTTTGAGCATTCTTAGCTCTATTAAAATGTAGAAACTGTGACAATCATTGTCTTACTTGTCTGTATGTGTGACAATTAGTGTCAAAATGATATTAAATTATTGGACCATGCTAGGGTGCCACCACATGGGTACTACCATGGGAGCACCCATGCTTCGCACAGACAAACACAGACGATAATTGTCTGTGCGACACAGACAATTATCGTCTGTGTTTGTCTGTGCGAAGCATGGGTGCACCCATGGTAGCACACATGTGGTGGCACCCTAGCATTTTCCTAAATTATTAGTCTTCTTATCATTTTTTTGTCGAAATGAGGGTCCAACCAAGCGCTCCAAATATTTAGTAGGAAAAGCTATGGATCCCACTTGTGCCGCACCATTTCTGACATCAAAAACAAGACACATACAATAATTATCTATGCTAAAGTTTTTGTGTTCACTTTTACGGTATCCGATAAATAAAATATAAAGAATGAATGTGCGTACAAGTAGAACGGGCATCCCCGAGCACAAGGGTTAAGGCTAACGCCTACATCAACAAGCAAGGCACGCAAGCCACAACACTAAGTAAAAAACAATACTCCCTCCGTCCCCCAGTTTTTGTCCACTTTTAACTTTTGGAACTGTTCATCTAAGCACTTTGACTCATTAAATTCTCTCAATGTGTAAGCCTAAATATAGGCCATGTTTGGCACTTGGCAGATCCGCCAAGAATTGGCTGTTTGACTATCATTAATGACTTGGACCTGCCAAAGAACAAAAAAAATTGTTTGGTGGATGGCTTTTGAAATTGGCTTCTTAATCTAAACAGCTAAAAATGAAAATGCCAGACCACCCAGCATTTCAGTTTGGCATTTGCAGATCATTCCTTTTTTGCCCTCAGCGACACTCTGGTCTTCTCCATGCACCCTTGTGGATTTTTTTGTTTCTTTTTAAATTATGGGTTCATCTACTTTTTATTGATCTCAATTCTTTAAAATTTAAATTGTTTTTCTTCTCTTTTTTTCTTTTCCTCTCATGAGTGTATTTTAAATCTATTCATTCTACCTATCAAAAACTCATTCAACCAAGAGTTTAAGGTCACGATTGGGACCCAGAAATGTTTGACACTTCAAATTGTGATTCTTATCTTGAGTAATTTTTTATTTAATTTTTTGATTTAAAGTTGGTGTAGAGTATCCTTATATATTTATGATACGACATTAAAAGATCTATAAACTAAAAGGTAGCATGTTTGTTATTTGTAAAATGACAAATGAATAAATATACAAAAAAAATCTACTCATAAAATGTAACGGTGAATTCTCATTTCCTAATCTGTTAAACAAAAATACAAAGTAGTCATTTTTTGGTAGAAAAATAGATATATGCAGAGTATTTGCTTGTATAATGTGTGTGATTAGTCAAAATAAAAAATCATACTCCCTTTGTCCTAATTTAAATGTTTTAGTTTACGGTGTTGTGCTGGATTTTTTCTCAAATCATTTTATATGAAAAATTACGTAGAATTAAAAAATAAAAATAACATATTTAAAAACTACATCAAAAAATCCATAAAACTAGTGGTGACATGACTATATTATTTTATCAAATTACTGACGAAAATAGTGAAAGAAAATGTATGAAGTTTGACGATGTGCATATTAAATAGATAATTTGATTTGAGACGGAGGGAGTACTAATTAAAATTAAACACAAATTAACAAAAATGAAGGGATGTCCTTTTATGTAATTTCACCCACAAACAGCTAATTATAAACAGCTAAATTTGCCAAACGTTTTTTTCTAAACAGCTATCACAAACAGCCGGTCAAACAGCTAACCCAATCAGCCATTCAAACCAACCAACAGAAACAGCCAACCGCCAACAGCCAACTGCCAGGTTCCAAACAAGGCCATAGTCATATGTGATCTTGTTTGATTTGTCTTAACATATAGATTATTAATATATAATTTCTATAATTTTTTAATATACAAATTACAAGATAAAATGGATTAAAGAAGTGCATTGGATGGTGTGTAAAAATGAAAGTAGACAAAAACTAGGTGACAGAGGGAGTAAAAGAGATCAACTTGGCACACATGCCAAACTAAAAATCAATAGATGCATAAGGCCACAAACTACCTAGAATAGTATAAACCATAACTTTAATATTACAAACAATAGTGTTGTAGCCTTATGCATAACTTTAATTTTACAAACAATAGTCTTGTCATAGACAATTCTGAAGACCGCTCCTGATGCATCATTTGTAAATCTCAGTCGATGTCTACTACAACCATAGTCTATGGTTATGATCTTTCGTTGGATTCGAAGTCCATAACTGTGGTCAATATTATTGTGTTGTCGTCTAACCGACATCAGAATACGTCTGGACTTTTGATTGATGTCAAATTAATACCAACATGACAAAGGGTCAAAAAAACTATTTGTGGAAAGGTATTCATATAAGAAAGACCATTAGCGTAATATTTGATAATAGACAACTAAATATAAAAAACTCGTGTTAAGGACCAATTATAAAATTTACTCAAATTTTTATACAGAAAAGAGCCCTAAACCGCACAATTACAGAGGCGACGCGCTTCCAGGGTTTAGGGGGTTAGATCATTTGTTATGGGGCTTGACCTATGGCATGAAGGAAATGTCACACCCGTCACGGCGTGACCATCGCGACACCACGGGCGTGGCTGAGGTGTGACAAGCGGGCGCTTGATGGTGGTCACAAGCGTTGCCCCTATTTTTCTTTTTCTTTTTATTTTTTTTATTTCAAACCAATCAAAACTTAACGCATTCACCACAACACATTTTTTCATCACTCCACATCATCCATCGTTACACCCTGTCAAGCCCCCATCAAGCCCGCCATAACACTTGGCTTTAGAGAGAATAAAAACTATCAATTTTACAAACAGAGCCCATAAGGTGCTCCAAAAAGCTAGTGGCAACGGAACTGCACTGAATTACACCCTCCAAAGATTAAATTAGACATAGAAGTTTGCTAGTTTGACGGAAAAGTAATGCTACTACTGCTACCATGCACTGCTTAATGAATCAATTAATCAGATAATTAGATTAAAATGGTGGTTTTCCCTACTCTTTGTGAGATTTTCCAGGGTCTTTTGTTGTGGTTATCACCACCAAACAACCACTACTACTCTGATGAATTTTACATGTGGCAGCCGGCGATCAGGCAGCAAGCGCCAAGACTTTGATGGTTCCCTGGCTGTTAGCAGCTAACATCGTGTGGCTATCACTCTTCCAGCACACTGCGCTGATGAAGAAAGATGACATGTCTTCGTCCCCGTCTTCCACCTCTAGGGTGCCAAAACTATGACAAGTCACCGGTTTTGTGATTGCCTGTGGAGGGTGGCAACCAAATCCCCATTAGTCATTGTCTTTTTATGTACTCTACTCTCGGCACCAAAGGATTAAGGAGGCAGTGACGAATCACCACCAGAGTAGCTGGCCTTGGAAAAGTTTTACTCCCTTTGTCCCAAAAAAATACCCTCGACACTTCATATTACGATGCTTAACTGAAGTTTTTGTTTTATATCCAATTTATTTCAAAATTGATGAAGAAAAAAAATTATATATTTCAAAACTACATCAAAAGATACATAGGATGTGACGTGATTATATTGTTTTGCCAAATAATCAATGAAAATAGGTAAAGAAAAAAAATTATGTTGACCTTGAAATAATACGTGTAAAGAGTATTTTTGGGGGACGGAGGGAGTACTAGAGAGTTGTACCAATTTATAGTACTACTATTGCTACTTTGGTGCAATTCATAAGCTTTGATGCAAAATCTAGGCAAACTTTTTATAAATAGATTAAGCTTTTTAAAACTAAACTTGAGCTATATAATAATAAAAGTACAGTAGAGTCCATCCATTTGATAAGTTAGAAGCACTAGATTACATAGTTACCATTGGTAAATACGGAGTATGTAATATAACCCTCCTAGTGAGAATTAACAGTACTCTTTTGTATTGTATTGAGAGTGAAATATATGTTAAAATGTGTAAACTTTGTTGAGTACTCAGTATTTGTTGTTTTTCTTGACTCTACTCTCTTTTGGTTTGCTTTGGTCTTAACAAGTAACACTAGTCACTAGCATTTGACAACACGAGCTGAATACATTGCTAGGCTATTTCTTTGTCTTTTTAAAGGTAGTGCACAATTTTTTTGGGGTTAAAATGAAGAGAAATTTGCAATCATATTTTACATATCATTTCATTCAGCTTAACTTAAAAAAATCCTTGTAGCTGAAAAATACAAAAGTGAACTCTTTATGTCAGGTTATCCTTCTATGAAACCGGCTCCTAAAAACATGTTGCTTTTTTGCATACTCGTGGTATTGGATCTATTTTGAAGAAATGGCACTAACCTTGTGGTAAACAAAGACCTCATTGGTTTCACTGCCGCAAGAAATGAACTCTTTATTCACCGTCAGACCAACAAAATTTTTCTCATTTGTATGCCCTCTAAAGACACGAACCTGCAAGAAACATCAGTTAGCATCATAGATGACCATGTCAGTTGTCCTGATGGCTATATTAAAATGAAGGCCTCTGTATTCCTTTCCACCACTGAAAATAGTAACATTTGTTTTAAATCTGCGCAAGTTTCTTAATGTTATTCATCCTTCTAATTTACACACCTTTCTAGTCTCTCTCTGTCACCTGTGTAATTTTTTAATAAAAACATTTGAGAACCCCATAGTTGCTTCTCCACTAGATTTTTTGAAGAATGTTGAACATTTAATTTTCAAAGAACCAAAGAGGAGTAATTGGAAAGTGTGAATTATAAAATTCGCTAGACCGTAACGTAACTCTCCTAATAGTTGCTGATAAATTCCACAATTAATGAGGAAAAGTCAGAGTAGAGTTCAAAGATGTTATATATGCAAAACTGCAATAATGTGTGTGTGTGTGTATTTATGAATATATATATATATATATATATGGGATTGACTCCAGTGAAATGACACCTTACGGTGAGATGACATCCTACGGTCAGATGACACAAAGCTCACCGCTACCAACTGCAAAGCTCACCAAGGACAACTACAAAGCTCACCAAATTGTAAGACAAAGCTCACCATATTTTTTTCAACACTTTGAATTTTTTTTAAAAAAATAAAATCAAAGAAAGGGGTGCTGACTGGACTTTGACTGTTGACCGAGACCTTTGACCGCCACCTGCCGCCATCGGACACCGCCGGTCGCCGGAATCTGCTCCCACCGCCGGTCGTCGGAATCCGCCACCTGCCTCCGCCGGTCGCCGGAAACCGCCGCCGGTCTCCGGAATCTGCCGCCGCCCCGCCGCCGCTGACCGGTGCTATTTTATGTTTTTTTAATTTTAAATCTTTAAAATTTTTAAAAAAAGTAAGTTTTGGTGTTTAAAGTGGTGAGCTTTACTTTATTTCTAGATGAGCTTTGCATTGTCAATTGGTGAGCTTTGTAGTGTAGTGTGGTGAGCTTTGTGTCATCTCACCATAATGTGTCATCTCACTGAAGTCAATCCCTATATATATATATATATATGTATATATATATATATATATATATATATATATATATATAGGGGCCGGTTCCTGTGAGAATGCACCTTGTGGAGAGAAATGAGAATAAAATATAGCCGTTAGATCTGATGCATCGTGCGGCTCAGATTGCATCCTGCGCTTAGATTTTGAGATAGTGCATTTTCAAAGGATTTTGGTGCATTTCAGCGTGATGCATTTTCAAACCATTTTGGTGCATCTAATTTTGATGCAATTCTAACCCTTAGATCTCACAATCTAAAGTACCAGATTCATTCTCATTTCTCTCCTAAGATCGCATTCTCACCAGAACAAAAATCTATATATATATCTATATATATATATATATATATATATATATATATATATATGCCTAAACTCATATACTCCATAGCAGCAGAAACAGAGGAAGCATCTCCCAATATGGGCGCCGTGTGAAAGATTTTACTTGTATCATAGTAGAGAATTTACTTACATCTGAATTTTCTTTAACATCCCATAGTCGAAGAGTACTGTCAGTTGATGCTGATGCAAGCTCATGGTTAGACAAGAACTTTACATAGGAAACAGCTTTTTTGTGGCCGCTGAAAATATGGACCGGATGGGTGGTGTTTCTTAAGTCATAATAATGAATGTTGTGATCAGCTGATCCAACCTGCATATGGATCACATAAAGACTATTATTCTGAAAGATATCAGGCATCAAATCTAACCTCTCATGGGTCTCACCCCCACCCCACCGCCCGAAAAACACATGCATACACAATGACTGTGATAAGATTACGTACCGCAACATGATAACTAGATCCGGGATTATATTTCACACAACATATATTTGCCTTCGTGTCAATATTAATGACACTTGCTTCCTGCTTTGTGCTCCAGACTTTAACCTGAAATGGCATTGTAAAATGTTTTTTAAATTGTTGCGATTGATTTCTATAAAGTTGTGTTCAGATAATAGGAATAAAAATTATGTTTGAAATTTCAAAGAGATTTGAATTTGACTCAAATCAAAAGATGAAAAACTCTCGTTCTATTTATATTTTGATTTCCATATAAATTACCTAAAATTTGAATGTCAATGTTTGGAATTGTAGAATTGAATTCCAAAAATACAATTCAATTCCTTGAATCCAAATTATAGCTCAAAGAATTCAACACCATGAGCATCACTCAAATTCACATTCAAGCTATTATTGGCATTTAGAAACCACTTACACCGACAGTTAAGGACCAAACTGGAAAGAGTGAGAAGAGTGTGGCCAGTACCTTACAATCATCACTTCCGGATACAAGCATTGAGGGATCTGTTCTAGAAAAATCAACACTCCACGCCCGTTTCTCATGTTCTTCATATTCCATCACACTCTAAATGTTATTATTTTAAGAAAAATAAAATTATATGTAAGAACATTGTAACATAGATACACACAGTTGCATACTCCATGACTTAAATAGTTCTTTTCGTGTGCAAGTGCAAAGCTTTAAGGCTTGCTTGATTGGGGTTTTTTGGAGGGGATGTGAGAGGAGGGAAGGGCTGATTTAAAAAAACAAATTTATCTATATTTGTTAGATCATTAAATGTAGACTAGAAAATAACTACACCGTTTGTGTTTAATTAAATCATGTACATGTCAATATAAATTTTTATTTTTCACTTACTCTCCAATCAACTAAATGTGAGAATACACTAATAAATAAATATCACCCCACCCCTTACTCCTCCTCTGAAATGGAAAAAATTAATAGTCCCACCCAAACAAAGGCAAAAGATTAAATTTATTGTTCGAAACATTAATGCATTTACCTGTCTTGTTGTCACATCCCAAACCGTCACAATTCCATCATAATCACTACTGGCTATGTGGTTTTTAGTGTACTTGTTCCAGCTCAAGCAGCTAAGTTTGGACCTAGTTGACATCTCCACAACAGGGCAATGCACATCTGCAGGTTCATTCACAACCTATAATTCAAACAAAAAGGACCCTGTCACTGGAGTCTGGACTAGTGGGAAAATTACGATCCTAATGCCTGGGTAATTAAAAAAATCTTTGATGATGCAACAACCGCAATAACCACAATGAGAGGTCAAATAGACTTTAACATAAATATGTTTGACAAATATACACTAATAATGCAGAGTACCAAAGTAACAATGCCATTGTTAGTTTATTTATTTTCAAAAGAGCAAAAAAACGTAGGGGCACAAATGCTCGGTCCATATTTACCAGTATTCAAGGAGAGTATAAGATAATTATCACCATCATGACCTCAATCCAAACTGTGTTAATTATTTCCCTAAAAAATAACGCTATAAATTCATTCCTGCAAAAAAAGCATAGCGACAAAGTTTTGAATGGGATTCCCTTACTATCACAAGTTCACAACCTTCTTACAAGTTACGAAGGAGTTATGATTTACATTTCTGTTCTTTCTTCTTTTTTCGAAAGGGAAAGACAAGGTATCTTCTTTTGCCAACAACAATAAGCAAACCATAATCCCAATTCAATGGAGTCAGCTACATGAATCGATAGAAAATCAACTTAGATCATCCACAAATATCTCCTTTTTCCATTCTTTAATGTGATGCATCATATGCTCATTAAACCTCAATGATCTAAAGCCTCTCTTAACAAATATTCTTAACCCTTCTTCCATTCTTAAATAATAAGGAATGCTCCTTATTTAAATGTGCAGCATGATGATGATTATTAGTATTATTACATTTAATACAATAACACAGTGAGTGTACAACATAGTGTGTATTATCTCTTCCATTTTTGTGAAGTTGGAGTTTTTTGCTTTTGTAGTGAAAGATGGAGCAGCAGTGCTTTCTCAAAGCTAATCTCCAGATGATTTGTGAACAAAACAAACAAAGAAAAAGACTGAGTAATATATGCAAGGAGAGAATACGCAGCTTACCGAAGAGAAATCAAATACTTTGATGCGTCGTGAAACTCCAGCCGTAGCAAACAGTTCGTCGTTATGGTCGAATTCTATGCTGCAATTAGCATAGGTATATTTATTACCTTAAGAATATTTGAGAAACGAAAAAGGGCATCTCAAGAGCAAAACAGGGTAGTACAAAGAGAATAAAATACAATTAGACAATAGTCCCAAAATCATTCATATTACAAATATAGTGTGTTGGGTGAACCATTCCATGTGTGCAACTAGTTATTTTACTGAAAAATAGATCAACTTACCTTGAAACAATATTAGCTGAGTGAAAAATATCTCCATGTCGTATCTCAGCAATGACTCTTAGTCGACTGCATTAAAAGTAAAAAACAAACAAAAAGATGTGAAAATTTGAATTGAATATTAGTCAGAGAATCCAACACCCGAGATTCTTCGGAAAATAGTTATGGTTAGAGAAGGTAACTGGGTACTTTACCTATAACGTGTGAATGTACTCAGTACAGACTGGAAATCTGCCAAAGCAGCACTGTAACCTTCTCTTCTCATCGCATTTTGGTTCCTCTTATCTTTGTCTTGTAAGTGGGTTTCCAACTGACGTCTCTTTTGCAAGTAAAATTCTTGCAGATCATTGAACTGCAGTCAAAGGATAAAAGAAATGAGAAAAACAATGTTGAAAGCACTACAGAAAATAATTATCTTCATAAGCATCAAAAGAAGTTCAGAAATATAATCCCTCCCTCAACAACTGTCTTCAATTTATTGCCTGAAGTTACACAACTGGAACAAGACTGACAACATTTCTACTGAATAATGCTTAATATATACAAGGCAACTTAATCCCAGTTAGGATGTAGATAATTTGGGTTTGCCCCAAAGAAAGTATGAGTTCATAATTAACCAAGAGTCCAAGATAATGTAGCGTCATAGTGTAAACTGTAAATAAAATCTCCCCTCTGTTTGTCAACTAATAAGTTTAATTCTTCCAAAATAAGCTTCCATAGATAGGACGATGGTGGGTTCAGCTTGAAGCAGTTTGATGATGATTCGTATTTAGAATGTCAGCTGTTTAACAGATACTCCCCCCATCTCACATCTTTGTCCACTCTCACCATGTTTTTATGTCCCACTATGTTTGTCCCCAACCATATTTAGTACTCTGTATTATCTGCTTGGCTCACATTCATTTCTACTTTTTCCACATCAATGATCAATATCAAGCAAAAAGTTATACTTTTCTTAATTTACGTGTCACCGATGTCCCAAAAATAGAGGGACACAGGGAGTAACAATCTATACATCCAGAGACTATACAAAAATCTCGGTGATGGAAGCAGATCCTACTTAGGTGGTCTTCTATAAGCCATGAATACAGTTACCTGTGCATGAACACGCTTTTTCCTAACAACAGCCAGTCCAGATTGACTCATGTGCTGTGAATTAAATTCAGTGACAGAAACATCCTTCCCTTGGGCCCCATCCTTTTTTAGGTGCACCAAGGTCCCAGATGGTAGTCCTCCATGTGCAGCACGGGAAGAGAGGGGAATGCCAATTGTGTTCCTATCTACTGATGAAGACCGAGAGTTTGCACCCAGGGGATTGTCTGCAAGCATTCGCAGTTTCATTGAGTACCTGTCTCTTGCCTGGTACAGCTCTATTCTATGTCTCTCGACTGAATTTACATCCTCCTTAATGTACTGGAGATCATTCTTTATCTAGAAGACAGCAAAAGAACACTTAGGGAATAGCTTTCTTATCATGAAAAGCAAGTCAACTAGTCTAACACATGAAACCAAAAAAAGGTCCTCGGTGACTTTGGAGAATAAGAAAATATACGTTAAGTGGTAACATAAGAAACTAAAGAGATTGAAAATATGAAGGGCTCCAACAGTATAATCGTTTGTTTATAATCCCAAATCAGGTATTCTCACTACTTGGTAAAATATTCTTCTTTTCCTTGCTTCCACCCCTTTATGCTCCTATCCTTATTTGTTTTTCAGCTTTGAAAAGAATTGATGATGGTTATGAGTCAAAAACCACAAACCTCAGTGAGCTCATCAACTTTTTTTTTCTTTAACATGTGTAGAAACTCGAGTAGAATTTGCATATTTCGTTCTGCTTCCTCTTGCTCTAGTTTTCTCTTCTTTTCTGCCAATATTGACAATAGAACATCCAGCTCCTTGATTGTAACTTCACAACCCTGTCTAAGGGCAACAATTGTTAAATAGAAGCTTAAATTCAAAATTGAAGGAAAAAAAATATTTATAGTTGAGAAGTTACACATTTTATGGCATAGAAAATCCCCGGATTACCCCAAGGAATAAAAACAGGCTTCATTGCACAGTCATGTATTACATGTTTTAAGTGCAGATACACCGGCATAATAAAAAATCATCTTTTTGAACGAACACCAAAGAAACTCTTGAGCTCAGAAAAACAAAACTTATGTTGATCTTGGGGGAAGTAATAATATAAAACAATTAAAACATATAGAAAAGATAACAATCAATTTGACATCAAAACTCACCTTCTCCAATGAATGACGAAATTGTTCTATAGGAGATGCAGTTTTTGACATTCGGTGTGCAGATTTCTTCAATAGCTACAATGTGGTACAGACAAACCTTTAACAAAATGCTGCATTGTGAAGAAATTATTTCAAGATGTAAACCACACCAACACTCTTATGACATTTGTAATTACCTAATGAAAAAGTGAAATCAAATTCAGTGCTAGTAGCCATGGATGTAATAATTTTGTATCAATCATTCAAAATTCAAATATTATTTAGTTCATCAATCTTATGTTCATATTCAGCATATGCTAGTGGCAAATGATGTAGGGAGGTGGATGAGGGCGGCAAACCTTGTCCAGGAGGAAGTTAGGGTAGAGTTGAGCGGCGGTGATGTAATGGGAGCAGCAAGGGCAGTCGCTCTTGTTGTGGAGATGAGTGACGATGCACATATAGCAGAAGCTATGGCCGCAAGCAGTCAGAAACGCATCTTTGATGATCTGCATGCATATCGGACATAGAAATTCCCTGTCTAGCTCAGGCTCCATTTCTGACGGCTCCACCTCGTACCGGCGACCACCGCTCGGTCCCGAGGACTTCACCGCCGGAACCACCGCTCCAGCCATCGAACTCTCCCCGTCGCACTCACGCTCTCGCTCACACATATTTGCAGATTATGGAGAAATCCGTTGCGTTTCCGGCGTCTGAGAGGAGGCAATACGGTGATGGCTATCACTGAATCGGAATCCGTTTTATTGGAGTAGGAAATGGGTGTTGTGTGGAGGAGAAGGCCAATCCGCGGCTTATGGATGTTTTGCAACTTGTGAACCAAGAGCCCCATTTTGCAAGAAAAAAGAAAAAAGCAAATACCTATTCTACTCTCCCAAAAATAATTCACTATTCACAATTTAAATATCATGAATTTTTTTTGTTTGTTTTCATCGATTATTTAAAAAACAAAAATATTATTTTTATTTTTTGTTTAAAAATTTTTTGACGTATTTTTAAAATATACGGAGTATGAGTTTTATTTTTATTTTTATACTAATGTTTATTAAAATATTTTAAAATTTTAAAATGTGTTTCGTTTTTCTTAATTTGACAAACAATTTAAGATAAAGGGAGTAATAGTTATTTTTTAATTTGACTAGTATTGCAACAAATGAGATTTGTAGCGGGTGGAAAATGAAGAGTTGAGACTTCAGAGAAGGGCGATGATGATGAATGAGGGAAAATGACTTCTAGGAAAAAAATCCAGAAGTCAAACTCCAGAATTTTGAGGGCCATCACCCTTTTAATTTTCCTACATGATCTACGAAAAATTTGTACAAACTCTTCTAAAATTTTACTCCGGTGCCACATCATTATCTTAATGAGTACTTTAATAATCGTACATCAATAAACTTAGGATTACTTCAATAATTGTACATTATCTTAAAAACACCCCCACTTATTCCTCTTTATTTCCCATCATTTTCTCCTTCAATTGTTTCCACTTTACTCTAATCATTTTCTACTTGGTTCATTATCTTTTCTTAGAGCATCTCCAACCATGCTTGTTATATGGATTTGCTATTTTTATATTATAGCAAGTGAATAGTGATATAGCAAGCACTTTTTTGCTTCATTCTCCAACCATTATTTGTTATTTCATTTTTTAAGTATTGGCTGACTAAATTTTAAGGGACTTGTCATATTTAGCAAACTAAATTCATTTTTTAGCAAACTTGATAAAATAAAGCATGCCCTTTGGAGAAGAACAAAAGTGTTTAACTAGTTATATTATAACTTTTAGCAAGTTAAAATGATATGGTTGAAGATGCTCTAATATGTAATCTTCCTATTTGTGGAAAAAAAAGATTTAAAAAAAACTCAAAAAATGTAATGGACCAATGAAAGCCTCTATAGAAGAATATTATTCTCCAATGTTCTTCTCTCTCCTATATTCATCACCCATCTCTAATCTTTTTACTCATTTTTCCCTCTCCACATCATCACATTCTCCCTTCTATTCCTTCCATGAGGAATGCTCTCATTAAGATACAAAAAATACTCGACTTTCCATTCCTGGCATTTTGTGTTGTAATAAAATTAAAAAGGAAACTCCGTCATTGCAAAAGGGTAAAATAGTCTTTTAGTTGTAAAATATGAAGCCTTCCCATTTAAGAAATGAGTAATAAGGACATATAATGCATAAAAATGAAAAACAAGAAGAAAGATATAAGGTAGGGGACGTAGTACAATGGGGCAAAGCCTATTTCTATGGAATTAAGTTATGGTCGCCTAGTCCTTCGCCTCTTCACCCGCTCTTCACGGGGAATCACAGGCATCGAGACACTTAACAATATCAGTGTCAGTGAAGAAGAGGGCGGGTAGAGCGACCCTTCCATGGTACATTTTTATGGGGGAGTGTGAATTATGGGGAAAAACAAAACGGGAACAAGCTTTTGTAGATGCTTGGCAATCGAAACTAACAACCATTTCAAACACAAAGATGCAAAGGAGAAAATAAAAAAAATGAAAGGGGACAGAAGAAACCCGTAGACGCTATGACACACTCTGTTTATGGCCCTGCACAGAAGTGAGAAACCAGATTCGAGTACACACGTACTTTTTCAAACAGACATAAGAGACGATGGATGCTTGCTCTACACAACTCCTGCAATGAAAAATGAGTGTTTATGAGACCAATAGGGAGGAGCACCAGATTGTGTTTGGGGCACGGCGGACTTTACCTTTCAGAGAACTCTGGAGCAAGTCGAAACACCTTGTACAAACAAACCACAGCAGCACGACCACCAGAATATCTAAAACATGTTAGAGGTTCCAAATTCACAAATCTATGAACACAGCAATCTCATTCCTCCAATTTAGGAGAGCATCGGATCAACCGCAAAAGATGGCCAACTTAAAGAAAGAGACAACAACAACAAATAAAAACCAAACAAAAGGTAGTGATAATCGAGGATACTGAAGAGACATTGCTCCCACCAGTCGAGCATGTAGAGACCAAAAGTGACATTGTAGAGATAGATCTTCCGCTGAATCCAATTCATCCTCCCTTTAATCGTCATTTCCACAAAACATAGAACTGTGAAGGAATTATTGTTTGACGCATGTGCATTAGAAACTGAATGATGTATTTTCTCACCTGTTGTGCTTGGGTGCTTGCCAAGTTAGATCTCAGGAGTGCCTTACACTGCCCTCTAAGGACCTATGTGTCACGGAATCTCCAAGCAAATGTTGTTTCCCGTCTCTGAAATGTTCCTGTTTGGGTACACGGGGATGTTCACACCCATTTTTTTATGTAAATTTTGGAAAAAATTGGTGTTTCCCCATTCTCAACCCTTTGTCCATGCAACTTAGTTCAGGACTCTGCTACTTCAACCAGTAGTAAATGTCTAGCTTGAGAATATTCTTTTATCAAGGTGTTGGTACTTCAATGGCACCAACAATTTGACTTTTCATTCAATTATTTAATTGATAAAAGTAGATTTTTTCATTTTTTAGCATAATTTTATTTCAAAGGTAGTTGTAAAATGTAATGAAGAAAAAATTTGGGAAGAAAAAAAAAGTTGGGTACCCTTTATCAAGCCTAAAGACGAGAGCTTATGGTTATCTTCAATAATTTATTTATCATCATGTATTATCTCATAGTTAAGAGAAGTTAAAGGATTCTAATGTTTCTCCTCCTACTCCTTTCTATTATCAATTGTTATACACTTTAAATGGTATCAAAGTCACTATATTTTAAACAAAGTATTTTTCCCCAGTCCTCCATTAGGGATGCATATGAATCGAATTCAAGGGAATACTAGTATAACCGATTCGCACTCAAATCATAAAAACTATCCATGTTCAGTTCGAATTATTATTCAAATATATCCGCGAATACTCAAACATTCGAATTCATTTTTTTTACACTACCAGGCTTAACAAGTGTGGACTAGGTAGAGATTTTAAAAAAAATTGATGCTTCACTGTTTTCTAAATGAGCAATTCAACAAAATGAGTAAATGACAAACTCATAACAGTATTATTCTTGCATATCAAATGAAGAACACATGGAATCATAATTTTTTCATAGCATAGATTTTTTTTGAATGGCAAAAAATAATCCAAGCAAAGATTATTAACTAACAATATACCCGAGTAACAATTAAAAAATAGTCCCAGATTTAATATACTAAAATAATTAATTGAAGAATGAATATGAATTAAGAAAATAACAATTCACAATTATTCAATTAACCCTAGATTCAATTTTAATTTATTCCAAAGATGAAGAATGAATACGAATTATGACTTATGAATACCAATTCTGGATGCTTGAGTGAAGAGCGAATCTCCCGCGCCGCTGGAGTCTGAATTGTTCTTCCGCCGCCGGAGTCTGGAGACTATCCGTGAATTATGTCGCTGGAGTGCTGCTGATCCTGCGGTTGACAATGTAGGAGTCGGTTTTGAAGCAAATGGAAAGCTAAGACTAGGTGGAAATGATATTTCAATAAAAGTGGAAATATTATGGTAGAAAAATGAAAGAGAAAATATTTGTGCAATGCTAGGAGTACACCGTACCCCAAATGTACATCACTCCTTCTCTAACACATATTTTTATTTGATTTTTATTTAGTGGAGGACAAGGAGGGTATACTTTTGGTGGACAAGGAGGGGGTGTGGGATATATAGAGTACACTTTTGGTGTACGGAAAGACGGTGTATCCACTATCCAATGACACAGGTCCAACTAAGAATTTGTTTGATAAAATATTAACAGTGCAGATTAATTTTGAACACTAATGCTATCTGTAGATAGTTTTTTCAAGACGCTAATGTTAATCACTAACGGTATTGCCTAATAAGTCTAAAACGAATGTTTGTTTAGAAAAGTAATAATTTCTATCTTATTCATTTCATTAAACTCTAACCTGCCTAATCCAAATTTACTATCCCCTTCAATTGAACTTCAAATTTTAGGTGATTTTGATATTAAATAAATTGTTGAAATATGATATAAAAACTTTTTTGACCACGATATCACAAGTTTAAACTTCATTGTCATTAATTTAAAAATATTAAAATTTCAAGTACAAGATTTGAAGCGATCATGCCTATATGTGAATCGCATAGGTTAGAGTATAAATTTTTTTTTCTGATTCTGCAACTATAAGCTCCAGTTTTTGATTAAACTAGCTATTTGACCATTTTGCGCTTTTAAAATTAGTTTTTAGACATTATACATATACTTTATTATGTCATAAAACTTTTTAAAAAAAACTTATAGCTAAAATATTACATGTATACCGAAATATGAAATCATATATCGTATTCCCTAAAATGAGTGTTGCCTGTTGTGTTGGTATTGTGGAGTACCACAATTTAACATTTTTTTTGGCACTATATATTGACAATCTTTAGCATTTAAATGATTTAAGTATTATTCCATTCATCCCAATTTAAATATTATGTTTATATCTAAGATATTTGACTGAATTTATTTTCAAATCATTTTATATAAAAAATATTAAACTAAAAAATAAAATGACATTAAAAACTACCTAAAACATTTACAAAATTAGTGTTAGCATAAAATTTGATCATGTAAATAATAAACAAGCAATTTAATTAATGGCTGAGAAAATATTTGGTATAAAACATCAAATTTTATTTTGATATGTCAAACATGTTTTAGTTTTCTATATACTTATAAGTTGGTCAAACCTTGATTATAAGTTGTTTTTAATTTATAAACCACTGGTAACATGTTTCTTTGTACTTGTAAGCTAGTTTATAAATTATTTATAAACTAAAAAAGAAAGTAAGTCTTACCTAGTGAGCTATGTCTCGAGATATGCTTGTAGTGGACACAAAAAATTACTCGAAGTATTTAAGAGCACTGGAAATGCTCATCATGCCCACCGGCGTGATCGCCGGTTTTAACGCCGGGGGGCGTTAAACACCGCCCTCATCAGCCTCATCCAGGCATGATGTGGTCGGCGTCATTGGTTTGACGCATCCCCTCCCCCTAACGGCTAATTTAGCTATTGAAACCCAAAAAAAAAAATTAATTATTTTTTTTGTAAATTTCAAACTCCCCCCTCCCATTCTCACACCTTCAATCTTTTTCAATTTTTTTCACACGTTCTTCAATTTCAAACTCCCCCCTCTCTTTTGAACATCGGCGAATGATTCCTGTATTCTTGGAAATACCACATCGCGGACTCGTGAGGCTCGAGATTGTCGGGAAATAAGCCGGAGCCGGAAGGATATGACGCATCCCCTCCCCATAACGGCTAATTTAGCTATTGAAACCCAAAAAAAAAAAAATTAATTATTTTTTTTGTAAATTTCAAACTCCCCCCTCCCATTCTCACACCTTCAATCTTCTTCAATTTTTTTCACACGTTCTTCAATTTCAAACTCCCCCCTCTCTTTTGAACATAAATCCTTCCGGCTCCGGCTTATTTCCCGACAATCTCGAGCCTCACGAATCCGCGATGTGGTATTTCCAAGAATACAGGAATCATTCGCCGATGTTCGAGACGGAACAATCGGGGGTACGTCGAGCGAGATTCGGTTCCGAAAACTTATCCGGGTCCAAAAAAAGTACACGCCGGAAAAGCCCCAAAGCAAAAGGCACGATGACCGGGGCGGCACGGTCAATCGAAAAGTGGACGCTGGAGGAAGAGTGCTTATTGGAGTCGGCTTGGGTTGACGTCTCCGAGTATCCTATCGATGGTAAAAATTATATGTTTTTCTAATATATTTATATTTTTATTTATATAAAATTATATTTAATCATGTCATAAAAAAAACTTCGTGTTATACTTTTTTAAAGGTTCGGAGCAAATGAAGGATGCGATGTGGGATTGTATCGAGGAGAAGTTCTTCACGGCGATGAACAAGGACGGCTCCTACTGTACCCGGAACCAACTCACTTCGAAATGGAGCCACATCAACCGTAAAGTCTGAAAGTTTATCAGAGTTTACGAGGAATGCGCCCGATCTTGGAGGAACGGGACGAACGACGCCGATATTCTCTGGCTTGCCACGACCCGGTATCAAGATGACGGGCACCAAGGCAAGGTACCCATCAATCTTTGGAGGATTTTGAGCTGTTCCCCGAAGTGGCAACAACTCAACAATCCCGACGGCGGATCATCAAAGAAAAGATCCTCCGTCGACGCCGAGATTGAGGTCGACGACACTATCGGTTCGTCCGAACAAATGCCTCCCTTCAACGTTGCGGATTCCGATGACGAGGACCCTATTCCACGGCCGATCGGAAGAAAGAAGGCAAAATCCATTGCCTCGGGTTCGGGAGGGTCCGGCTCTGTTTCCGTTTCTTCTCGCGACGAAATCGATTGGACAATGGTTGAACAATTTCGGGTGTTCAATCTTCAAGAAGAAGAGAGGGTGAAGCTAAAGGAGCAGGAGATGAAGCGAATGGAGCAGGAGGACGAGATCAAAATCATGGAAACCGAGCTTTCTACGTTATCGGGTTTCAAACGGATGATTTACGAGCAAAGATAAAGAGAGATCAAGACGAAATATAATTTACCTTAGTTTTTTATTAATGTATCTTTTTTATTATTGTCATTTTTTTTAGTTTAATGAATGTAATTTTTTAAATTTTAAATTATTGTCGTTTCAATTTCTTTAAATTTAATGAATGTATTTTCTTTATTATTCGTGTTTCAATATAATTAAATAATAAATTAATTACATTTTATTAATTTAGTTTTAGAAGATGTATTTTTAAAAATGTAAAAAATGAAGGTTTGAAGCCCGAGTTTGAAGCCCCGGGAAGCTTCAAACCCATTTCCAGTAAATCTGTGAGGTAAGTTAAAACTGACGTGGCAGAGAGAGAAATTTTGAAGCTCCGGTTTGAAGCCCCGAGGCTTCACGGGTATTTCCAGTGCTCTAAATTGTATGGAGTATCCACTCTAATTTGGTCTCTTCATCCCAATGCGCTTGTCCCATTTGACTTTTTAAAGTCAAATTGGACAAATTCTGATTATTAATTTATTCAAAATTAGATTGTGTATAAATAAAATAAATTAATTTTAAAAAATACATAACAAGTGAAATCTAATTATTATTTTTGTATCAATATGTAATTTCATTTTTATTTAATTGATTATCAAAATTTATCTAATTTGATTTCGGAAAAAACAAACTCGGCAAACTTATTATGACAAAGGTAGTACTTCATAAAAAAGATTTTCAAATCATTCAAATTTAGAACTTATCTTAACCCACGAACTACAAGTAGGGTGTGACACGATATCGATCCGAAACAAGTAACGACAATTTCGGAACCACACTAGGTATCGTGCTGGAAGGAGAGAGTTGGGGAACCGGACCGAGACCGGAGGGGGCAATGGCAATTCCGTTCGCTAGAATTTTAGAATCGAACGATGCATCTTCAAAAATCGAAATGAATGTCATGACACGTGAAAATCGAAATTGATGTCATGACACGCAAAAATCAATTTGGATGTCACGACAGTCAAATTCAATATCAAAAGAATGTAGATTGACATAGACTATTGGTAGTGTCAATGACTACTCCAATTATGAAATGATGCTCTGTATTTGGCCTACATATCATGTGCATTTCTGGTGCCAATCATAGGAACACTTAAAATTCTTATCTATTCACTTCTCTCAATACTCTCTACATCTTTTATGGCTAGATTAAGCTTAAATGTACACCAAAATTTGTACTCCATTTTGTACTCCAAAAGCATACACCGACATTTTGTGCTAGTGTGATGTTAGTGTAATAATTTATATTGACAAAAAATGTCAGTGCAATTTTTTTCAAGTGAACTAACATTTTGTGCCAATGTAAACCGTTAAAATGTCTTTGGGATACAACTTGAGATAAACCTTTGGTGTACCCTAGCATGATTGTTCATGGCTTCTCATTACTTCTCCCACTCAATTTTCAAACAATTTTTATTCCTTAACAAATACCCGAGTATTTTAATCCTATTTATCCCCCAAAAAAAGGTTTCTCTTCCTCTTCAAAGAAATTATGCGACCTTCGTTATCAGTAAGAAAATGATTGCTGATACGGCTCGGGTATACACTCTACAGTTTACATGTGATCCTCTTTGATTTGAGTTCTTATCAATTTGTGATGCTAAAATTTTCTTAAGGGCCCATTTGATGATTGAAGGAGGTTCATTTAATATGAGTGCAGAAATTTAGAAAAAAATGATACTCCATGAGCTTTGAAGGTGTTTGAAAGGATTGTCATATTGGGAAAGATCAAGTTCAAATGTTGTTTAAGATTCACCAAGCACCCACAAAAGGATAAAAAGGATTTTCATATCGAGAATATGCGCTCACCAAACAGGCCTGCCGGTCCGGAAAACGCTCCGACCCGCCGGCGGTTTCCGGCGGGTCGGAGCGTTTTCCGGCTAAATCCGGCGAAATTGACGGCGGGCACCAACTCCAATGCGATCGTGGCATCCGGGCGACCAAGGATCCCTCAATTGCAAGATTTGATGAAGATTTGCAAAACCCCCAATTTTGGATCCAATTTCGAATTTTAGGGTTTTTTCGAGTAAAAAAATTCAGATTCGAGAAGTTACAGGCCAAATTAGACAAAATGGTTTGGATATTATTGATCCTCGTCTCAAGACGAAGAGAATGACATTGGTCCGCCGGAATCGAAAAAAGTTCATTTTCCGGCGACTTTGACCGGCGGGCGGCGGGGCGTGGAAGAAAAGAAAAGAAGAAATGGGGTCAAATTGAAAATTTTAAAATATATAAAATTCGAATTTGGCCCTAATGACCGGAAGTTAACCTAGAAACGGGCTAATGGCTCATTAGTGAAAGGATTGTGTAAGTTCAGGGATTTTTGTGAAAGGATTTGAAGTTCAGGTACTACTTCGAAATTCCAGCTAAAATTCAGGTACCATTTGTGAAATTTACCCCCACAAAAGGATAAAAAAGGATTTTCCTATCGAGAATCTGCGCTCACCAAACAGGCCCTTAGTCGGTTTTTCG